ACAACCAAAGCGCGAAGCATATCCTCAAGCGTCTGAATAGTCCGCTCTGACTGACCGTCTGTCTCCAGATGGTAGGCTGAACTGAACTCTAGCTTCGTGCCCATCGCCTCGTGTAAACTGTGCCAGAATCGACTAATGAATCTGGGATCTCTGTCTGATACGATAGTGACGGGCACTCCGTGGAGTCGGATGATTCCACGGGTATATATCTCAGCCAACTTATCCAAAGACATCTTCATCGAAACGGGTAGGAAATGAGCGACCTTAGTAAGTCTGTCGACCACAACCCAGATAGCGTCGTGATGTTCAGACGACTTCGGCAATCCCGTAACGAAATCCATCGTGACTTCCTCCCACTTCCACCTCGGAATTGGCAGTGGTTGTAGGAGGCCGATCGGACTATGAAGTTTGGTTTTGACTTGCTGACATGTAAGACACCTTCTGACAAACTCGGCGACGTCTTTCTTCATACCTCGCCACCAGAACGACCCTTTCAGGTCGTGATACATCTTCGTGCTCCCGGGATGGGCCAGATAGGGTGCAGTATGAGCCTCTGATAAAATCTCCTTCTGCAACGCCTCGACCTTTGGGACCACGATCCCTCCCCTGAACTCTAGGGCACCATCGGCACCTAGCTGAAAACCCTCGACGCCTCCGGCGCGAACGTTGGCCTCCATGACTCGAACGAACTCGTCAGAAGCCTGCTCTCGCCGGATTCTCTCTCTCAGCGTTGGCTGAATCTGCATGGCACTGACACTGGCACTGGTACTCCCCAAAAAGGCTATGGGAAGTGCATCGATCGCCTGAAGCTGCATCCGGGCAAACTCCTGAATCAACGAACTCTACTGAGTAATGACATACGTCAAGTCACCCCTCACCTTTCGGCTTAGGGCATCAGCAACGACGTTCGCCTTCCCCGGATGATACTGAATAGAGCAGTCGTAATCCTTGACGAGCTCTAACCAACGGCGCTGTCTCATGTTGAGCTCCTTCTGAGTAAAAATATACTGCAAGCTCTTATGATCTGTGAAAATCTCACAATGACCGCCGTAAAGATAGTGTCGCCAAATCTTGAGAGCATGAACGACTGCGGCTAACTCCAAGTCGTGCGTCGGATAATTCTGCTCATGAGGTTTAAGCTGACGTGAGGCATATGCAACGACCTGGCCATCCTGCATAAGAACGCATCCCAAGCCCTGTCTCGAAGCATCGCTGAAAATGGTGAAACTCCGAGAAGGATCGGGAATAGTCAACACAGGTGCTGAAGTTAATCTCCTCTTGAGCTCCTGAAAGCTCGACTCACATCGGTCAGTCCACTCGAACCTCACAGACTTCCTCGTCAGCTGGGATAGAGGGAGGGCAATCTTGGAAAAGCCCTCGATAAACCTGCGGTAATAGCCAGCTAGACCGAGAAAACTGCGAACATCGGACGGACTCCTCGGTGTCGACCAGTTCTGAACAACTGAGACTTGGAAGGATCCACCTCGATACCTGCCTGAGTAATCACATGACCCAGAAAGGCTACTCGCTGGAGCCAGAACTCGCACTTGGAGAATTTTGCAAACAATTTTTCTCGTCTGAGGGTTTCGAGAACCACCCTCAGATGCTCCTCGTGCTCCTTCTGGCTCTTCGAGTAGATAAGAATATCGTCAATAAAGACAATAACAAACTGATCGAGGTAGGGATGGAAAATACGGTTCATGATGTCCATGAAAATTGCTGGAGCATTGCTGAGACCGAAAGGCATGACGACGAACTCGTAATGGCCGTAACGAGTCCAGAAAGCGGTCTTAGCGATATCTGACTCCTTAATCTTCAGCTGGTGGTAGCCTGATCGTAAATCAATCTTCGAAAATACACAGGCTCCCCTCAACTGATCGAATAAGTCGTCGATCCTAGGAAGCGGATACTTGTTCTTGATCGTCAACCGGTTCAACTCTCGGTAGTCGATACACATGCGCATGGTTCCATCCTTCTTCTTAACAAAGAGAACGGGTGCTCCCCAAGGTGACACGCTCGGTCGGATGAAACCGAGTCGTAACAGCTCCTAAATCTGAGTCTTAAGCTTATGCAACTCCTTAGGCGCCATACGGTATGGGGCCTTGGATACTGGACCGACTCCTGGAATGAGATCGATAGAGAACTCCACCTGCCGGTTAGGCGGTCCTCCTGGAAGCTCATCTGGGAACACGTCCACAAACTCACGAACAACTGGAACATCATGAGGCGAGCGTGCTTTCTGAGAATCATCGACAAGGCTCACCAGATAACCCTGGCAGTTGCCTCGTCGCAGCAACTTAGTGGCTTTCGCCATCGAAACAACATAAGGCAATGAACGATTTCTGGAGCCAAAGAAAGTGATCGAATCGTCTCCCGGAAGATAGAGAGTAATCTCCCGGTCATGACATCTGATATCTACATGATAAAAAGATAGCCAATCCATTCCGAGAATGAGGTCAAAATCCCTCATCTCGAGAACAAAAGCGTCGGTAGGCAATACTCGGCCACCGATGGAAAGGCTAAGATCTGAAGCTTTAGCTGAGGTCACAATCTTTCGTCCCGAGGCTAAACTCACCTCGAGAGGATCGACAGCAGTAATGACATGAACTCCGATGGCATCAAGACATCGTTGTGAAATGAAGAAATGTGTCGCTCCAGTATCGAACAAAGCAAACACAGGAATATTATTAAGAAAAACCATCCCTGACATAGTACCTGGCTGCTGCTCAGCCTCTGCTTGATCGACTGCGTACACTCGGGCCTGCTGTCTGCCCCTCTGCTGCTGCTGCTGAGGCTGCCTCTGAGCCTGGTGACGGGGCTGCTGCTGCTGCGGTCGCTGCTGAGGCTGCTGAGGCTGCTGTGCCTTCCTCGGACATCGGTTAGCAAAGTGTCCGGGCTCGTGGCAGTAATAGCACACATCCTGACCAAAGCGACACTCGCCTCGATGAAGTCGTCCACATGTCAAGCACTGGGGAATCTGCTGCTGCCTCCTGCGAGTCCTTCTGTCAGTCTGTGCGCCCTTTCCCTTCCTCTTGTTGCTATTCTTTGGTGGCTGAGTAGCTGGTAGGGCTGGTGGCAACAGTGGAGCTGAAGATGACTGAGCTGGGGCGGATGGCTGAGACTGATCACGGACGGCCTCCCTCCTGATACTGGCGTCCACCTCCTGGGCAATAGCAACTGCACGAACATACGTCTGTGTCCCGTGGCCTACGATGTTATGACGGACTGCTGGGTAACGCCTGTCAATGAAGCATTGTGCCCTCTGAGCCTCCGTACGAACCAGGTCCGGAACAAAACCTGCAAGTCTGATGAACTCCCTCTCGTACTCGTCAACAGACCGAGTACCCTGTTGGAGCGATAAGAACTGACGCTCCATCTCTGCTCTGTAGTAGCTGGGGTAGTACTTCTCGCGGACCAGCTCCTTGAGCCTATCCCATGTACAACCCTCCTTTTCGCCGGGACGCATGCTCCAGTAGGCATTCCACAAGAGCCGGGCATCACCGGTAAGCTGAAGCTGAGCGCAAACTACGCGATATCTGTCTGGACAATCCATGACCTCGAAGATAAAATCAAGGCCCTGAATCCACTCGTCCACGACTCGGGGATCTCCCTGCCCCGAGAATTTCTCGGCATGATAGTCGCGGAACTGTGCGACTACTGTGTCCTGAGTAAGATCTGGGTGATCGGGCTCCCTACGGGGCGGCATCTGAACATTGAAAAAGTTCGAATCATTGAACACGTGATAATATTCTGACTGATTTCTAAGGCACACAAATTCCTTGACGAGTCGCCAAAAGTGGCCGATAAATACTGACATGAATTCTGAGGAACTCTAGAGTCATACCGGAGTATACTGAATTTCTAGATTCATATCTAAATATACTGAATTCTAGAATTATATCTGAACTCTAAAGTCTGAATCTGATTCGAGCATCTTAACTAAATCTGATTACTGATTTCTAAGCATAGACAAAGTAATATGTTTATAACTGAAAACTGAATCAGCACTTACCTGGAGTCGACGAGGTGTGAGCGTGGCGGTTCAGGTTTTTCTGAAAATTACTGATTGAAAAACTCTTCAGAGACGCAGAAACGTACTCTGATACCAATTGTAACATCCCGACTTTTTACTACTATCAGAGTACGCGTTTTTCGCAATTTTACTGAATAAATACATAAAATATTAATTTTCTTTTGCGAAAACTGATTCGGGATGCTACCGTGAAAACTTGTCTTTTTCTGAAAATCGTTAACTTTTTAAAAACTGATAATTAAACGGTTATGATATCTTAACCGACTAACGTCGGATTAAAAGCTGAGTTTTAAGTACTGAAAGTTTTAGCGGAAATAACTGCGTGGTCAAAATATATATACATAAATACAATGTCCTGAACTGCCCGCCAGCTCACTCCTCGTCCCCGACCCTGCGACCTGAAAAACATGAAATATGTGGGGGCGTGAGCACTAAGGCACTGTGCTCCGCAGAAACTCAAACTAAAGTAAAACAGTGCATATAATAACAATATCATGATCCTGGCATATATATTGAACTGAAACTGAAACTGATACTGAAACTGATATCTGATACCGGTCTGATCTCGCGACATAAGTCACGTAACTGATAACTGAACATCTGCCGGCAAAAACTAATACCGGACACCATGTGCACACTCTAGTGGGCAGATTAAGGCCACTAGAACCCAGAATGGACCGGTGACCATTCCGAGCGGATACTGAACTGATAATTCATACCTCAAACATGTTAGCGTAATTATAAACAATGTAGTACTCAGTCTGAGTCCCCACCTGAACTGTTGAAAACTGAACGGTAGTGCTGATGCCTGATGAAACTGAAAACAATATAAACAATTACTATTGACTATGCTCAGACTGATAATTTAACTGTTTAATTATGTTAAGATGCTCTACTGAACCTGACATGATTTTCGGACTTATTCGGTATAACTGA